TCACACATTTATTGTTTTGTGGTTATTTAGGAAAACATATAGCGATGGTTTTCAGAACTGCAGTCTGTCATTCATAGCCACTACCTAGCAATTACAGTGGGAGTTGCTGCCTTCTCTAGGTACAGAAGCAGCCTTCAGAGCACATTTTATTTGAGAATTCTTGATATGCAATGCAATTACACAAGAAACCTTTTGGCAAAGCTTCAGGAATGGTGCTTATAGTCTGAAATGTTTTTTAAAGCTTTCTCTTTTGAGATCAACTGGCAAGGCAAACAGTGTTGAAAATGAAGGAATCACTTTGTTTGGTCTTAAATCTTTTCAGTACCTTATGTCATAGAACCATAGAATCATTTATGTTGGAAAATATTTTAAAGATCATTGAGTCCAACCACTAATCCAGTACTGCCAACTCCACCACTAAACCATGTCCCCAGGTGCCACATCTACACGTCTTTTAAATACCTCCAGGTATTTAAGTGATGACTCCACCACTTCCCTGGGCAGCCTGTTCCAGTGCTTGACAACCCTTTTCGTGAAGAAATTTTTCTTAACATCCTATCTGAGCCTCCCCTGGCACAACTTGTGGATGTTTCCTCCTTGTTACTTGGGAGAAAAGGCTGACTTGCACCTCACTACAACCTCTTGTCAGGTAGTTGTAGAGAATGATAAGGTTTTCCCTCTCAGCCTCCTTTTTTCCAGGGTAAACACCACTAGCTCCCTCAGCCACTCCTCATCAGACTTATGCTATAGATTCTTTACCAGCTTCGTTCCCTTCTCTGGACACACTCCAGCACCTCAATCTCTTCTAGTGAGAGGCCCAAAACTGAATACAGGATTCAAGGTGCTGCCTCACCAGTGCTGAGTATAGGGGGACAATCACTGCCTTGGGCCTGCTGGCCACACTATTGCTGATACAAGCCCAGATGCCATGGGCCTTCTTGGCCACCTGGGCACGCTGCTGGATCATGTGCAGCCACTGTTGACCAGCACCCCAAGGTCCTTTGCAGCTGGACAGTCACTGCCCCAAGCCTGTAGTGCTGCTTGGGGTTGTTGTGACCCAAGTACAGGACCTGGAACTTGGTATTGTTGAACCTCATACATTCGGACTCAGCCTCTCGATCCAGCCTGTCCAGATCCCTCTGTAGAGCATGTCCTTGTGCTGCAAGAACATCCCCAGTACAGAGGTGTTTTGGTGAGCACTGTATGTTACAGGGTCATAAAATTGCAGTGTTAAGTACATATTGAACAAACTGCTGCCATGGTTTCCTCTTCATGGTATTTAAAAGGAAAATGACACATAGTTTGTTTCCTGAATACTTCAGTGTAAAAATAGGTTGTACAGGTCAGCCCTTAAATTACAATTATCTTTCTCATACGTGCTCCCCACATCCCATTGTTTCTACTGTTAGATACAAGGTGGTCTCTCCCTTGATCCAGAAATCCTAGTTTCAGATGGCAGGTGAGTACCAGCAGGATTGGGAAAGCTAATTGTTTTGGGGAATTCTAGGAAAAGATGCAAAGCCAGGGGAAACATGATCAGAGAGAGTGGAATTATGCAGATTAATCTGAGAAATGCAAGAGATTTTGTTTCCTAGATCCTTTGGCATCTACTTACTTGGAAGAAAGAACACTGCAGTCAGTGATGTAGGGACTGCAAATAACAAGGCTAGTTCCTGATCTGACTCATTGGAAACCGCTGTTTCAGGCAGTTTCTATATGGAGTTTTGTGACAAAATTTAAATTCACATTTCCAAGATCTATTAAAGAATATTTAGAAGAGGTATGTTGAGCTTACTTCTTGAAAATACATTGGCCTCATCGTAGAGTTTTTGCAAAAATCCCCAAAACACAGCACAAAACCCATCACCCCCAAACCCTTTAATTTATCTTCAATGCTGAATTGGTTTTGGTAACAGGAAATAAACTAAACGCGCTTCTATTTGTATAATCCTGGATAATTTTAGCTTCTCCTGAAAGTTAATCATAATGCTTACATTGTGTCCTAGTTTTCTCCTGGTTCATAGGAAAAACAACTCTCTGACAAAATCAGGATCTTTCTTTAGCTGAACTGCTTCTGTTTCGGTGCCTGTGCTTCATTATGTCAACAGTTCCACACAAGAAGTGTAATTGCCAAGCTCAGTAGGAGGCTATATAGGGACAAGGACCTTTGTTATCTCTTCCAGCCTGGAGGGAATTCAGATGGAGCCCCCTCCTGCATCACATTTCTTCATCCTAGCCATTTCTGTTCAAAAAGAAGGCTGGTTTAGCAAGGGGTTGCACTTTGTAGTAGTGTGGTAGTGTAGTAGTTCTGTTCTCTTGAATGATGTAAAAAATGTAGGAGCTTGGTTTAGTGAGAAGGTTGCTGTGAAGAGAGGATAGTTTGCAACATGGCAGGTAAGTAATTTTGTGTAAATTTTCTGAAGGTTGTGTTCCTGGTGGAGGGCTGGAGTTTATCCAAAGGGTTAGTATTTTTTCTTTTTTTTTTCCCCTTTTATTTTTCTTTTCTTATAACTGCTCTGCATCTCTGTTAAATAAACAAGGACAAACCCACTTTTAAAATATTTGGGTCTGACTGTAGAAATCCAGTGGACCTGACTCTTCAGAGTGCCCCAAATCCCAGTTATATTTTCTTCTAAAAAATCTGAGACTGATGCTAACTACCATTAAGAACTGCTCTTCATTTTAGACATGATGCTTCTAATTTCTAGTTTGTGTCATGACCTGCATAAGGAGATTAAATGATGCAGGATAATTGATTCCTCATCTGGGAGTCAGACTGAAAGTATTAAATCAATCCTGTCCCCTTTTATGTTATTGCCATTGAAATTTCTTTGAAACAGCTGTTTCCTCTTCTGCCTCTTTCCCTGAATAGTGAACCAGGTAATACTATTTCTTTTGTGTGCTTGGCCTGCTTTTTTTCTGGGAGTAAATAGCAGAGCTTAGCTCTAGTCTCTCTAATCTGCTGGGATATGTCTTTAGAGAATAGCTTTTCATTCCTCAAATACAATGCAAAATGTTTCTGGTGACCCTGTGTCCATCTCTGGGTATGGATTCTTTACATCTATAGCTAATGGACTAATTGTAGCTTGTAGAAAATTATGACTTGCTGGATTTTACTCTTAGGAACACTGACCACAATACTTAAGAGAGGTAAGACTGGTGATGTTCCTTCCTTTCAACAGAAGGTAAGGATTTACATTTGCATCCAGTATTTCAGCCCGTATGTGCCATCATGTCTTCACTGCTATTGTCACTACCAGTAGTTGGGTTAAAAGCTGGACTTAACATGGTCACATGGATATCATGATGTGCACATGCATTCTGACATAATTCAATGCTCCACCTCTGCAAAACTCAGACTGAAGCAAAGCTCCTAGACACGTGGTGCTCATCTCACAGCTGGCAACGAGCACAAACTGCAGTGGGAGCTCGTATGGAGCAGAAATGGCTGACGCTCCTCTGCATTGGGTACCAGATTCTGTCACTGCTAACCTGAGCCAAGCCCAGCTCACCACGGCACCCTTGGGAACAGCCACAACCTGCCATTCACACAGTGGTGGGGTTATGTGGAGATGGCTAGTGGGGTGGGCTCTAGGACATCAGTTAATATGCTCTGCCAGACCCCTGCTGGCTTTGGACCTTCACACTTTGTTTCCTGAGCAGGCAGCTGTGGGATGTGTCAGTGCCTCAGGACAGACTGGAGTGGCACCAGCCAGGCTCACGCTGTCACACCACTGCTTAGGTGTAAAGTTAAAGGCAGGCTTGAAGAAAACATCAGGGCCTGCCCTTGCACTGGGGAGAGAATAGCAGAGAAAATAAGGAATATCTCTCAGTACCATGCAGTTTTGACTGATATCCACAGCAAATACAAGGAAGTTTAAAACCTGCTGGGTAATTTATTCTTCACATTTCTCTGTTAAAATATGTACATAAGAATAACACACAACCAGCATGAAACGTGCAATACAGTGTCAGCTTTGTAATTTTCCCCATCTCTTATTAACTACTGTTTTCCAGCTGTACATTTTGGATAAGGCCATATATGTAAACATAGCCTCTTTTGTCACAGAGATACTCAATTGTGGACACTTTTAAAAATACATTTTTCCAATCCTTTTGGAAGTATAGGAGACAAAAGGACTTCTTTTATTTTAGTTTGTAGTATTTCTGTTATCAGTGATCCCTTCCCATCTGCAGATATCTACCACTTCCATGAATAAGGAAAATGACTTCTTCATCTAGAGGGCTTTTTAGAGACAGGACTCTTTAAAGCCATATTTACAATTAAAAAAAAAAGAATTAAAGCCCCCAAACAAAAAATTAAGCAAAAAAAGGCTGCCCAAGTTTTAAATCTCCTTAAAAGCAGAATACTGGAAAATGCTGCTGCAGAAATATCTGTAGCCCAGGAAGGACATGTCACTGCTCACAGCCCCCAGTGTATGATGTGGATGGAAGGAGAGGAAAGGTTGCTGACACATGCATAACTTTTTATGCGTACTCAGCAGACCTGTTGCTGTGGTTACTAATCAGAACCTCTCTTGAATGAGTGCTATTTGCACCACACCAGATGGCTGATAAATCACATAGTAGAATTTTCTGTCCCTTGTATTACTGTCCAATCTTTTTTCTAAGTGCTGTGACTTAATTTGCAGCAATTTACACATAAATTATTTGGACAGGACACATTAATATAAAACATAATGCTGAAGCAGGTATGCAGTCACTTTCACAAACTCCGGTATCACTTGCATAACACCAGAAATGATTTTTTGTCTTATGTATTGATGTTCAAGTTGTTGCAATTTGATGAATAATGCTAAGCTGAGGAAAAATATGCTTGATTTTTAATATAATACTAATAACGTAGTTACTGTAGCACAT